CTGAGAGAGGGACAGAAGAGGGGCCGAATGGGTGGCCCAGGAGCCTGTCTCTTCTAGGGACTTTTATAGAGCAAAACCACAAGGTGAGGCAGTCCCAAGGAGGAGGCGGGGAATTGGGAAATCACAAGGTGGGCATGAGGTGGGATAAAACTATGGTCAGCCAGTAAGAATTGTTCAGACAAAATTGATTAAATTGGGATCAAATGGGGAAGCGAGTCATGTAGCAAGCAGGCGTGAATACAGACCAGGGGCTTTTCCTGTAAGGGGTTGGGTCAGTGACTCTTCCAGGTGATTGCTACCTATTTAGAATATCAGTCCCGGAGGTCCATCCCTAGGGAGGTGTGTGGCTGTGTTTGTTTAATCCTTTGTCTTGAGATCTGGGATGCAGCGAGGACCGCCTCTCTATCTGCAAGAAGGTATCTTGTCTTCCCTACTGATTCATACTGGCTCCTTCGAGGGCCTGGCCATGTCTGACTGCCTGTAATATTTCTATCCAACTCAGCTGCCTACAACACCAGCACTCGGGAGGCCGAGGCAGGAGGACCATGTGAGTTCTTTTTGAGCCTGTCTCAAAAAGAAAAAAAAGAAAATCCACAGAGCCACGTGTGATTGGAGGCCCCTACACAGCTGAGCAGCTTCTGTGCTCTGCTTCGCTATTACTGGCTCTGAACTGCAGCCCACGAGGCCACACACTCAGGTTGGGAAACCCAGGAGCTCTTCTCCTTATTCCCAAAAAAACTCCTCTAGCCTTTTCCTCTGGTTCGCAACTTCACTCCTGGACATCTGCATGCACACAGCCGCACTCAGCCAGTGTGCCAGGGCTGGTCCTGGGCTGAAGGGCCAAATCCACCCCACGCTGTGGCAGACGGGGCTTCTCAGCGTCACTGGGGATTGCTCTCCCAACACTTGGGAGGCTGAGGCAGGAGGATCATTGCGAGTCTGAGATCAGCCTGGGCTACAAAGTGAGCTCAAGGCCAGCCTGAACTGCATACCGAGACCCTGTCACAAAAAGAAAAGGGGAAAAAAAAAAAAAAAGATCCCAGCAGCGAACAGATGTTCTTAATCAAGCTGAATTTGAGGCGAATTTCCTAAAACAGTCTTGCTGTTTCCAAGACTGTAGGCAGGATTTTGCGCCACCTAGGCCTGGCACACCACCGGGGCTGGCAACAGAGAGAGCCTGTGCATCCCCTGGCCCGCGGGGGCAGGCAGGAAGGGTTCCCACAGCCCGATGGGAGTACACCCAGCCCCCAACCTTGCGCCACCACCATCCATCCTGCTTCTGTGAGTTTTTCTTTTCTTTCTTTTTTTCTGAGCTAGCCCAGCTTGTCTGGGTCCTCACTTACTCTTTCTGCACAGATTTGGGCCCCCGCAACCTTGTGGAGACGCCTATGTTCGGCAAGGTGAGTTTGCTTTCTGCACGGGAGGGGCCCGCTTCCCTAGACAGCACACGATACAACTGAGAGAGGCTTTGGAGGTCTGACCTGCGTCAGGACGCTCACACCTGGGCGCAAGGCCGCGAGATGCAGGACTGAAACCTGAAGCCTCGGGGAGTTGTCGGACATCACCTTGTCCTGCTCGCGCACAGCCCCGGCTGGGCCCTGGAGCCCCATCCTGCTTAAACACGAAGGTCTCACGTGCGCTATGTGTGAGCTGCAGACAAGGAGTGCGGGGTAGCCCTGTACCGGAAAAGTCAAGGGGCTGAGAACCGGCGAGAGGCGCCCAGACCACCCGGGGAGGGAGCCACAGGGCAGAGGGGTGAGGGGAGGGGAGACAGCACCCCTCTAGGACCTCGGCTGGAAGCCTCAGGGTAAGAAACCAGTGTGTGCACGGTGCGGAACGCAGAAGCCTCCTCTCAGGTGCTGGAGGGACGCGGAGCGCGTGGAGGGGAGCAAGTGGCGGCCACCTCCCCAGAAATGGCGTTTGGGCTTATCCGGTTTTGGACAGTGGATTCAGAAGCAGACGGGGAGGAGGCCATGTCCAGGAGGATATGGCTGAGGCCCCCCTTAAGCACCCTGGCTGGGGCCGGGGGTATAGCTCAGCGGTTTAAGGGCTTGCCTGGCAAGCCTGAGGTCATGAGTTCGATTCCCAGTACCCAGGCTGGAACCTGGGCGTGGCGGCACATGCTTGTAATCCCAGCACTCTGAGAGGCTGAGGCAGGAGGATCCCAAGTTGGGGTGCAGGTAGGCAATGTAATGATTGAGCCAGACGGTAGGAAGGACAGAGGCTGTTCTGTTCCGTACTGAGGCCCTGAGTTCAGTCCTTACCGGGGGGTGGAGGGGTGGGGCGGCCGGGGGCGGGGTACTGGGGCTTGAACTCCGGGTCTTTGCACCGAGCTACCTCTCCAGCCCTTGTATTTTTGAGACAGGGTCTTGTGAAGTTGCTACCCTGGCCAGGCTGGGCTCGAACTTGCAATCCTGCCTCAGCCTCCGGAGCGCTGGGCTCCCCGACGGTCACCTCTCCGTGTTCTAGCCCCCAGCCCGGGGCGCCCCGGGAGGAGCGCGGCGGGGAGCGCGCACTGGCTCAGGCGCCCCGTGCGCGTTCCGTTCTCTGCTCCGAGAAGCCCG